TTTCTCCCTTTCTGTGGTTGATTTAGAGTCCTCTAAAGGAAGTTAGGGTTAGAAGTGAGAATGATTTTGAATGTGCGTTAGAGGGGGTTGTTTTTTGTTTTGTTTTTTTTTTTTTTTTTAAAGGGGTCCTGACTTCATTCCTCCCCTACTTCGTGCAGAAATTAAGAAAATGTCTTCAGAAGATACAATGAGTGTGGTAGGAAGTAAGTAATGACCTTGGAGTATGGGAGCATGGACACGGAGAGTAGTCCGTCTCCAACTAGTTCGGAGAAAACGGTGGAGGGGGTGAGAGGAGACGAGGTGGTGGAGGTTAGGGGGAATGAGATGGTGGGGGTTAAGGGGGATAGTGTGCCTATCACTGTGGTAGAAGTAGAGGGTAGAGGAGAAAGGGGGTATGAAATAGATGCAGATATAGTGGAGAAGGTGAAGCAGTACAGATCTGAACTTGGGACCAGGGATAGCTTGGGTCATTTAGTGGAGAATTATGAGATATCTTCCCGAGTGTTAGTTAGGCCAGCTAGGGTAGAGGAAAGAGCGTGCTCTGCTCCTCGGGATCATTGGATGCCTGTGTATGCCCACTATTTGTTAGCCGAGCTCAGGTTTCCAATCCCTGAGTTGCTAGTAGGTTTGCTATTAGATTATAGTATAGGGTTGACACAGTTAGTCCCCAACGCTATGAGGGTAATAATAGGATTTTTAGTTTATTGTCGAGCTCAAGGGATTAATGTGCCAACCATAAATATGTTTAAGTATTTTTTTGTTTTGAAGGGGGGTAGTAGGAAGGATAAGGGGTGGTATTATTTCACCCCTAGGGTAGCAAATAGGGAGAGTAGGGCGTTGTTTACGGTGGGTCCTTCATCCATTAAAGGATGGAAGGGAAATTTCTTTTTTGTAGATGACACGGAGTGGGAGAGGGGGGATAATGAGGTGAGGGAGTTAGCATCCTGAAAGGCTAAAAGAGCCAACCAGAATAAGTTTAGCTTCAATGAGGATGAGGAGGAGGAAGTGGGGAAGTTGGTGAGGAAGGGGGGGGATCTATTAAACATCATGGACCTCACAAGCGCACCATGCATAGAAGTTGCTGAGCTCTATGGGTCAAGCGTTTTAAGTGAAGGTTTGTTTAATTTGCATTGTAGTACTGACTGTAGAATATAGAACTGTGTGATTGATATTGTGTTTTCTTGCTTTGTAACTGAAATGGACAAATTTTTGAACATCGTTGGAGGAGTGGCCATCCCCAAGAAGCCAAGGAAGAAGTCAAAGACTTCAACCAAGCAAGTGGATGAGGGGAGAGATGGGAAGGAGGTAATGCCCACTACCTCAACTGAGGCGGAGGAGGAGGTGCCACAGTTGAAGAGGAAGGGTTGGGAGGAGAGGAGGGCACTACAGAAGAAGAAGAAGGTGGTGGAGGAGGAGGAGGAGAGGGGGAGCGAGGTTCCCCAGTTTGTACCTCAGCCTCCTCTTGTTGAGTTGGACCTTGAGCTCAGACAGTTGGAGGAGGGGGCTGAGGTACGAGCTCCCGGTAAGGGAAATGGCCCTGTTCCCTCGCTAGTGTTTCAGAGCAGCCTGTTCGAGGCGAAGAACATGATGGGGGCTAGGAGGTTCATCAACACCACCTTCCCCGAAGTGGACAAACGCAACACACGGGATGAGGCTCTGAGGTATTGTAGGGCTTAAGTGGTGAAGCACGTTTTAGAGGTATGTTGAGTTATTTGTATTTATTGGTTATTGGTGTTGTTTGTTTAATCTCTTTCTTCTTTTCTTCTTTTTCTCGTAACTTCTACTTTGAATTGCAGAGCGCGAGCTGGGTGAATGGTCTAGCCCAAGAGTTCATGGATAGCGTGAAGGAGCGCTTCCTCTTGTAGAGGCAGTGTGACCAGTTGCAGAAAGAGAATGAGGAGTTGGAGAAAAAGAATAACGAACTGCAATAGGTGCTGAATGAGCTGGTTCCAACTGTGAAACAGTTGGAGCAAGAGAGGGCTTCCCTGAGCACCAAGCTCGTCTTTGAGGAGAGCAAACGAAGGATCTCTGAAAGCGAGCGTGAGACTCAGGTGAAGGAAATAGTGTTGATGAAGGATGCTTTCATGAAGCTAAAGGAGAATGTGCAGATGTTGGTGCACAATGGGATGAAGGAGCACATCAGCAGCTTCATTAGCTCCAGCTCGTTTGACAACATCGTCAACTTGTACCGGCTGCCCACTGCCATCATTGCTTTCGCAGACTGTAAAAAGAAGGTGAAGGCTGAATATCCCAAAGTGGATATTACAAAGATCACCTTTGGCAAGCAAGAAGAAGGAGTGGAGGAGAACGGTGAGAGCATATCAGCAGACTTCCGTCCTCAAATCAAATTGAGGTGGGAGCATGATGCAGATGGACGTGCTGTGTTCCCTCCACAGTTTGACTTTAAGTTCGTTGTAATGGAGGAAGAAGGGGCAGAGGTAGAGGAAGATGAGGTGGAGGCAGGAGTGGAAGGGACTGAAGTGGGTGAGAGCCAACGAGTTCCCGAAGTGGAGATTCATCTTGTCCCTTTTGACAATGAGCAGCTTCCTCTACCAGACGAGCAGCAGCCAACACAGCCACCTCTTCCAACTGAGCAAGAGCCAATGGATCCACCTCCCCCAGTAGAGAAATAATTTTGTTTTTTAATTTGTGTAAAACATTTAAACAATTTGTAATACTATTATTACTTTGAATGAAAATTCATTTTTGAAATTATATGTTGTGTTTGCTTTATATTTTTATTTTATTTTATTTTTATTTTTTTTATTAATAAAAGAACTGAGATTATTTGAGACGTGATTTGAAAGAAAGTTAACCACTTTAGAAATGAACCAAAGAGAAGTAAGTCACTTCAAACGAATTAAGAACAAGTACATCACTGCAAATGAATTGAAAGGAAATAAAGCACTTTATATGCGAAGTGACATTTATTAACAGAAGTGAGGTTCAAGGAATGAATGAACTAATTGACCTCGGATACATAGAATACATAGAATAAGAGGTAAAATGAATCTCAACAATGACGAAGTAAAAAGTGTAAAGAACAGTAAGATATCGATCACTTGAAAGGATTTTATTAGGGGTAAAATTTCTTCAAGTTATTGACATTCCAGACTCTATGAATTCTCTTTCCTTCAGCATGTTGGAAGACATAGGCACCAGGATGTAGCACCTCGGCCACAGTATAAGGGCCTTCCCAATTCGGGGTGAGTTTGCCAAAACGAGTTTCAAACCTTGTTAGGCCAGCTTTTCTGAGAACAAGGTCTCCTACTTTGAATGTTCGAGGGTGGACTTGTTTATTGTAGAAGTTGGCTAGTTTCTGCTTGTATACAAGAGTTCGAAGCTGTGCTTCTTCTCTGACTTCGGCAAGCAAATCAAGGTTTTTCCGAAGTAGTAGTCCATTTCATCCTTCATCGAAATGGGTGACCCGGAAGCTTGGGACTCCTATTTCAATAGGAATGACTGCTTCAGTACCAAAGGCGAGATGATAAGGTGTTTCACCTATTTTAGTTAATTATAACTTTAGAATGCACTTTATGCATTATGCATATTTGCTCTAAGGTAAGGCCGTAACAGAAGAAGTAAAATAATATAAAAATCAATCAAATAGACCAGGTTTGAAGTAATACCTGTGGCAGTTCGGCCCGTGGTTTTGTATGCCCAGAGGACGTTGTTGAGCTTGTCTGCCCACTTGGCCTTATGCTGTTCCAACCTCGGCTTTATACCTTCTAAAATGCATTTGTTAACAGATTCAACCATGCCATTGGACTCCGGATGGTAAATGGAGGTGAACTGCAATTTGATCCTATAATTGGAACAGAAATCTTGGAATGAGGAGCAATTGAATTGAGTTCCATTATCAGCCACAATCTGATTCGGGATCCCATATCTGCAGATGATCGAGTTGAAAACAAAGTCTTCGACCTTCTTGGAGGTAAGACTAGATAACAGCTGAGCTTCAACCCACTTTGTGAAATAAACCACACCAACAACCAGATGGGTTACACTACCAACCCCTGTCATAAACGGGCCTAAAAGATCCAGTCCCCACTGAGCAAATGGCCATGGTGCTACCAAGTTCGTGAGCTCTTCTGCTGGTTGGTGAGTCAGATGTGCAAAGAATTGACATTTCTAGCATTTCTAAACAAAGTGAGTGGCATCTTTGTACATGTTTGGCTAGTAATACCCCTGCCTTAAGACTTTGTGAGCCAGAGTTCTAGTACCAAAGTGGCTCCCACAAACACCTTCATGTACCTCCCGAAGTGCATACTCAGCTTCATAGGGGTTTAAACACCGTAGAAGAGGGAGTGAGAAAGATCTCTTATAGAGGACCCCATCAACAAGTGTATATCGAGATGCTCTCTTCCTCAACTTCATTGCTTCCTACCTGTCCTCAGGTACTATCCCATCTCGCAAAAAGGAGATAATTGAGTCAGTCCAGCTCAGCGTGTCAGGGTCTGTGCTAATCTCCATCATCCGTGGCTTCATGAAGCTTGGTTCGTCTAAAACCTCCACAAAAACTAATCTGGAACTGAAAGAGCTATTAGAGGCAAATTTAGAGAGTGAATATGCCTGTTCATTCTCAGTTCGGGGAATTTTTCTCAGATAGAATTTCTGGAATTTGCATTTCAGCTCAGCCACCAGGGCTACATATTTCACCATCACAGGATCAACGACTTCGCAGATTGAGTTGATTTGGTTCACCATCAGCTAGGAGTCACTGTATACTTGAATCACACTGATTTTCAATTCCAATGCTAGCTATAGACCAAGCAGCAGAGCTTCATACTCAGCCATATTGTTTGTTGCATCGAAGTTGAATTTCAGGGCATGTTCGCTTCGATATCCATCTAGACCAATCAAGAGAGTGCTAGCTCCTGAACCCTTGCTACTAGATGCCCCATCAACATATAAGGTCCAATCATTGGGCTCTAGATTAGGGGTTGAAGGACATAGAGTGCATTCGACAATAAAATTTGCTAGCGCTTGAGCTCGAATCGTCGATCTTTACTGAAATGTTATCTCAAATTCCCCCAATTCTACTACCCACTTAATTAATCTTCCAGAGCACTCTGGTTTCTGCAGAATCTGTCGGAGAGGTTGATCTGTGAGGATGATAATTGGGTGTGACTGGAAATACGGTCTCAGCTTCCTGGCCGTAGTGACAACTACTAATGCTGCTTTCTCAGCTATAGGATACCTCAGCTCTGCTCCATGCAGTACACTGCTGATATAATAGATTGGTTTCTGCTGCTTGGCTTCTTCTCTCACCAGAACCGAAATAATGGCATCATCTGAAATTCCCAGATACAAATAAATAATCTTTCCAACTACAGCCTTAGTCAGTAGAGGTGGCGAGCTAAGATAAGACTTCAGCTCATCGAAT